AAAGAAAGATTTTTGAAGGAGGTTTCCTCTCAAGATAAAATAAATAGTCATCCAGAAAGCTGGAGGGTTGAAAATCTTTGCAATACCTCATATAACACTCCACTTGATAAAGAATATGACGATCGATCTACTAGGTCATATGAGTTGGATGACGATGATGAACATCTCCCGTCTTAGGAGAAATTTCATTTAGAATCTCCACTAGAAATGGTGGATATGCTATGATTTTTTGGATCTAAACAAGGTCTGTCTAAAGGATAATTTTACCCTGCTTTACATTGGTCAATTTTTTTGTATGATGATGGGGCACACCATGCTGAGTTTCATGGATGCTTACTCAAATTACAGTTAGATCTCCATGTATGAATCAACAAAGAGCATACTTCATTTATCACAGATTGAGGCTTATATTGCTACAAAGTGATATCTTTCAACTCAAGAGTACTGAAAAAAAAAAAACTATTGAAGTATATATAGATCATATGTCGGTGAGAAGTGTGAATTCAAGAGATCACATGGCCTACCTTGAAAGCACATTTAACATTTCCCGGATGGAACTCAATACTCTGAAGTGTGTATTTAGGATAGTTTTGGGTAATTTTTTTGGATTAACAAATTCTCCCTTTCTTTAAAAATATCAAGAGAGGAAGGAAATTTAAATGGACCTCAAAATGTGGAGAGGCCTTTATGGTCGTAAAAAGAACCTTGGTTAGGCTTCTCTAATGTCTAATAAAAAGTCTCGCTAATATATTTCACCATCTCGGTAACTCGGTAAGGGCTACTAGCGCTGTACTAGTCCTACCAGAAGTAGTGCAATAGTTACCAATATACTATGTGAGTATAGTCATTTAGGATGTTGAGAGGAGATACCAGACATGGAAATGTTAGCTTTGGCATTGAACATAGCTTCTAGGAAATTAAGGTTATATTTTCAACCTCATACCATTGCAGTACTAACCAATTACCGGATTAAGCAAGTGCTATAAAAGCCCACGCTTTAGAATGGTTAATGAAAAGAGCGATTAAACTCGGTCAATTTTGATATCCAGTCCTAGTTGAAAACTTCTATTGAGAGATCTCAATGCCCATGGATGTTGAAGAACCTGAGTTAATAGAGTACAGACTATGTAAATTATTTGTTGATAGCTCGTGCGGAGAGACTTGTTAGAAATCAGGAATAACTCTACTAAGTCAAGAGTGACATCATTTTACCTACACCTCAATTTCAGTTTGCTAGTTTTAAATAATGTGAAAGAATAGGAGGAGTGATAGTCGTACTAAAATTAGCAAATGAGATGAAGGTAAAATAGATATATGTCAGTAGTGACTCCAAGTTCGTAGTGGATGTGGATCCGGTGAATGGTAGCTTTATAGCTAGGGACAAGGCATGGCTGCTTACTTGAATCATGTCATTAATTTATTGCCAAACTTTGGCAAATATGTCAATGTTCTGTCCAAATTTTTGTTGGAAAATAAACCAAATTAATGATCACGGACTTTATTTTAGTCAGGTGTCTACTAGTATTCCAATAATTGATTGAGTAATTAAGGTGTCTTCTTGGATATGTAATAGACACATTTATTTTGATACATTTTGTAACGCCCCAAGTTCCGTGAACCCGGATTTTCATGTCATATTTTTTTGTAACCGATTTAACTAACAACATTTGCGGAAAATAACTAAATTTCAAACTTCACATTTATAACGGTAAAAAGCCTCGAAAAGTCGCCAAAACTCATTTAATTAACTTAAAGAATTTGATTAAACTTCAAATTTC